ATCTAAAACATTCCAGATGGCAGACACTAATTCATTTCCCACTCTCTAAAATATATGGATTCTCTACTCCAGAGAGGAGTCTAGCAATCTGTTTTGGAGAACAAATTCCACCAGTCATAGCTACTATCACAAATAGTAAAGATTGTGAGAACAGTAGCCCTCCCAAAGTAGAAGAGGCTGGTTTGGCTACCTTAATTCTACACACACAGGGGGACCATCATTGTCTTTCCACAGTGTTCTGGAATGATGTCTTGTCAAAGTTATGTATAAAATATTAAAATGGCAACTATATTAGAGTAAAGTAGCTCCTCCTTCCTCCTTCTTTTCCTCCTCCTCCTCCTCCTTCACTACTACTACTACCACTACCACCACCACCACCACTACCAAAGTCAATAGTTGGGAAAAGTTATAAAGGCTGACATAAGGGACCAAAGCTTTCACAAACTGCCACACATATTTTGTCCTATTTTAACAGTGTGTATCTAATCAAGTTATCTTGAAGGTCATATCTCCTTGAGATGTTACTTTAGGATATTAAGCAACCTTCCCGTATGGCTTTGTAAATACTTCTGGTTATAAAGTGCTTTCCCAAATAGCTGTAAAAGATCAAGCCACTGTGGAATGTATCAGGAACAAGGCTAGATCTGTTGGGGGGGGGAGTTCTAGACTTCCAATCTCTTTTGCTTGAGATCATTGAATGTTGCATCCATTCTCTTGAAAAAGGAGAAAGCAGCAATCTCAAAAAAGTGGATACTGCGGAAAAATTCAGTTCACCAGCATTTATACTTTAAATGGAAAGAACTTGTATATTAAGTAGGTCAAATCTTGGGACAAGAAGATTGGTCACTGAATGTACATAGCAAGCTAATCCACATAAACACTGTGATGGGAAACTTTTAACCCCACATTGGTTGGGAGACAAACTCAGCTAAGCATGATCCTACCAGGAAATTCCAGATTTGTCTTGCTGACAAATTTGTTTTTCAGAAGATGGAGAAATGAACACAGAAGACATAATTGAGGAAACAGAAGTAGCAAGCACACTGAATGAAAGTGACTTTGTAATACTGAGGTTTTGGAGTTTACACCAACAATGTAGTTAGTCAAAACACATATCTTTAGACTTCAAAAATGTGGGGTTTAATGAATCCAGAACAATGATAAGATCCTGGAGAGGAATCCTAGCAGAACTGCAAATTATTCCAATGAAGAGAAAAAATGAAGGACCCAAAAGAAACCAAAGTAGCTATGCAAAAAGATGTGAGAATAAGAAAAGGATGCAAACAGGAGGTAGATAGTTGAGAGAGGATGCAGAAGATTATTGGATAGATGACTCCAGATTATAGGCCAATTGACCTGAATCATCTCTTGAGACTGGCCCAGAGGTATGATTTCCATCACCCTTTCTGACAGAACAAAAATAAAAAAAAAATTGGGAGGTTTAAAATAGCTTAAGCAACACTATTTGCCACCACCTGGGAGACTTTTGCTTTTCCAACTTGTATCTTAACCTAGATTCTTCTATGCTTCTTCTAATATATTCCCAATTTATACTTACTGGGAATATTTAAAAACAGAAAAATGAGCAGCAATTGTGATATTCTCATGAGGGGATTATTGGTGTATAATTAAGAAATATCCATAGTAACAAGTAAATCTGCATTAGCCTGACCTACTTTAAAAAAATTCCATCAGCTTTTAGGCCCATGACATACAAACTGATTGAGTCTCCCCTATTCTTCACAAGAAGGGCAGAGTGTAGAAATATTAGGAGGCATCAAAACACAAGATCTTAAGGACCCACTGATATACAAATTACAGATTTGGTAGCTTTGTATTCACCTTTACAGAGATAAAATGTTGACCTATGATGAAAGGAAATCCCACAGAGAGGTACAGAAGCAAATGGATAAAGATTGTTAAATACATATCATGTTAAATGATCAGAAAAGATGTGATGGACAAATATATATTGCAAACCTGCAACAGTTTGCAGTTTTCTACATTTGTTGTTTCATAGGTAAGATCACTGCACATTCAAAAGGTTGAACTACTCTGCTAAAAATGTAATCACCAACAAACTTTCCAATAAATCTATCAAAACTCATCAGCACATCCTAGATGCAGATCTCCATTTTACTTCATCCTTTTTCTTCCTCTTCCCCACAGATCAGAATGCCCTTAATAACCTAGGAAGCACAGGGCAATAATGTTCTTGAGAAAGTAAACATAAAAGTCATTCTGCTAAAAACGGTTCAAAATCCTAATTGTGTAAATGAGGACTAGTATGATGCAGAGACAAGAGTTTCCTTGTAATAATGTTTAAAGAGTTTGGGCAATGACAGGATATAGGCTAGAGTTCATTGTGAGTGAGGAACATCTCTGCTTCCATTAAGCTCCTGCAATTTCTCCAGGAGGAACTGAAAGGTGTTAGTTGCCCAGAAACTATCTTTGCCAAATTGCTGCTCTCTTCTTGTGCTGTCATTCATTTTCCCACCATACTATGGCAGGAATAATTAAGACATCCTGTTTTTTTTAAATTTAAATAGAATTTAATTAATTCTATTAATACTAATAGAAATAGTATTTCTACTTACTACTTTAATTCTTTGTGTTTTATTCATAAAATCAATGGGAAAGTGCACTACTTTGTTTTGGTGTTTTTGCACCAAATACAGTGGCACTATCTTTGAAGACAGCAAAAAAAAAAGAGGCCTGAGACTTGAAGTCTGTCCCCCTCTGGTGTGTGTAAATGGCATCACAGCCTCCCCTTAAGCACCTCCAACAGTGATGGCGAACCTTTTAGAGACCCGAGTGCCCAAACTCCAACCCAAAACCCACTTATGCATCGTCGGGTGCTGGGTGGGCGTGACCCATTGGGAGGGTGTGGCTCATTGGGTGGGCGTGGCTGCAGTGGTAACAGCAGACTGGGTGGGACTAAAAAGTTCAATCAATCAATTCCAACTTTGTAAGATCTTTTTTTTTCCCCGCAAGAAGTTGAAATTGACTGATTGATTGAACCTTTTTTTTGTACACGGCGGCGGAGGCCTAAAGTGAAAAGGTTTTATAAAACCCAGCTGAAGGCCTAGGACTGGGGCAACGGTGCGCGTGCCCACAGAGAGGGCTCTGAGTGCTGCCTCTGGCACCCGTGCCATAGGTTCGCCACCACTGACCTACAAGATTGAAGAAAAACATATTTTTGCATATTATTTAGCATTTATTTTAAAACTGTGGTACATCCCATCTACACAAATCCAGAACAGAAAAGAATGCTGCAATATAACTTATATGTACTGGGAAGCTGCTAATGCAGTATACAAGAGTGAAAGTTTTGTTTATCCATTAAAAAAAGTTTTGTAAATACTCTGAATTTGGTCTCAATTGTGTGAAAAAGTTCAACAACTCAGAGAACTAATAGTCTAACCTGGATAACTCCTATTTCCCCTGTATTAAAAAAAAATCCTATCAATGTGGTATATCAAGTTGGAATTGAAATTAGTATAGGTAGTCCTTAGTTAACAACAGCAATTGGGACTTGAATTTTGTTGTTAAATAATGTGGTTGTAAAAACACAACATCACATGCTTGTGCCGCTTAGCAATGGCAGTTCCAGCGCTTCTGGTTTAGTATCATTAACCAAATCCTGTGCTGTCCTTAAGCACAAGGTCACACGGTCATCATTTGTGATCTCCTGCCAACTTCCCCATGGCCTTTGCTTATGGGAAACCAGCAGTGAAGGTCAGGATTAGCAATCACATGACTGCAGGACACTGCAACGTCACAATTGTGAGCCAGCCACATAATTATGGGGATGCTTCAACGGTCAAAACTATAAAAATCAATCATAGATAGCACTCGCTCAGGGCTGTCAGAAATTTGAACAGTTGCTGAACAGACCTTAAGTGAGGACCACCTGTACGTAAATATATGACAAATGAGAGAATGAAAATGGAACACACATAGCACTTACAAAACATTAAATTCTTCTTTAAATAAGAGAGGTGGGGTGGGGGTTTGAAAACTGGTCATGTTGTTCCCAGCCACACTTAAAGCACACTTATTGCAAGTAATCCATTTATCTTCTTTGAACAGAAGCCATTCATATTTTTTTGTTATTATTCACAATCATACATCTGCATATCTTATGGCAAGTACCTAAACAATGCACTTCGAATGTCAAGTACTATACTTTTGTGATTATCAAGAAATAAGAAGCAAGATCGTGTCTCAGATCCTCCCTATCAATCAGTTGCAAAGGAGGAAGGATCCTGAACAATGTGGATGTGTGTGTGTGTTTCTCTTGTGGGACAGTCAAAAGAATTGGAAACTATTGCAGTACTCCAAGGAACATTCTGCCAAGTTTTCCCGATTGCATCAAAGTTCAGGCTATGCCAAGAAACAAGAACAAAAACACCTTTCAAACTCATGTTGGCAGTTTTGATTTACACAGAAACTACTTCTAAAAAGAAAAGCAGCATCACACACCAAAAATAAATCTGTCTTATGTCCTGTCCAAAGAACCTCTCTATCAGGAAATAATTATTTAGCTCCACTACATAATACATTCTTCTAGCATAGTAATCACGATGGTAAATTCATCAAAATCTAGCAGAACCGTTGCTTCATGCCCTCCCTTTCTATTGCTCTCCCCCACTCCCAGCTGCCCCCAGGCTCACCTTCAGCAGAGGAAGCTGAATACCGTATAGCAAAGAGGTTTTCTTACATAAGGGAGACGCACTTGCAGTGAAAGATCAAACCAAGCAATGGCTTTTGCCCAAGAAGGAACAGCAAACCATCTGCTTCAGTACTTTGGAAATACTCAGCCTCCAATTCACTCTCTCTGGCTTTCCCCCACCCCTGCACGGGCTTCCCTAGACCTTTCCAACTTCCAAGTAGAACTACAACGAATCTGCTTTTTGGATCTCTAGGGAGCGATATACCCGACTTCCCATTTTGGAAAAAAAAAAAAAGTTCATTAAAGCTTTTTTAAGGTGGAACTTCCTGTACAAACTCACTAGCAATTTGACAAAACCTCTTGGGTCCTTCTTAGGAAAGAGACATTTCTTCGCAGTTTTCAGAGATTTTGACCATTAATGGTTAGTAAGATGAAGATCCCACCTCTGCCCTGTTTACGTATTGGTCCGTTTTTTTTAATCTAATTTTTATTAACTTATGTTTGAATTTGCAATGTTTTACTCTTCTAATTGGGTTATATTGTAGTTTTATGATGTTGTAAGCCACCCAGAGTCACTCAATAATGATATGAGTGGCAGATAAATTTAATAAATAAATAAATAAACCATGAATTCTGGTTTTTATACTGCACTTTTTAAACTCATAGGCAGAAAATAAAATGGAAAACCTTGATTTGGGAATTCCTGGGCATATTGCCATTGCTGTTTCATTTCCCCCACCTGGTATCCTGGAAGTAGTTTAGAGTAAAATGCAGTGAAGGGAAAGATTTCTTTTCATTTTGACTGTGGAGAATGGAAAACACTAACACGCATCTTGTTCCTGATAGACTGGTATAGCACCTGCAATCACAGAAAAAAAATAATAATCCATCATTATACATAGGGCAGTTCATTTGTTTGCACTTGGTCCTTTTGATGCAAATTGTAAGACAACTAAGGCATGCAGAGTAAAAGACCCTGCAAATGGCCAGGGCTTACTCCAAGCACATGCAGTAAATGAGCAACAAAGGAGGGAATAGAGGCCGCAGCTGTTGCACTTGCAGAATGATTGTGAGTTCATGACTGCTGAGCTATACGAACAAGGATTCACTTGTCTCCACTTTGTGGAGCCATTGTGCAGCGTATTTTCTACACTGATTGGCAGAGGCTCTCTAGGGTAGCCAACAGGCTGGAGAAAGGGGTGGGTAAAGCTGTCAACCGATCAATGGTGTGCATAGTTGGTCTTGCAAAAAAAAAAGGAAAAAAAGGCAGAGTTGACGGCAGGAGAGAATTGGGTTCATCGTGCAATGTAGACAAGTCGGCATTGTCTATAAAGAAATAAGAGTTATGATATGAAGAACTAGTTTCATAGACTTTAGTGATGCTTGCGAATACAGAAGGGGGTGCCCATAATTACATTTCAAGCAAGGTAATGCAAAGCAATTATAAAGCAATCTGGCAATATCTAGCTGACTTTGGCTGATCTCCAACGACCTCGGCAAGGTTGGACATGATTAATACTTGATTGAAGACCATCAGAAATGACAACATTTTAGGTTAAAGTAGGAGATTGGGACAATGTTGGGGAAGCAAACAATGGAAAGTTGCCCCCATGTCTGTTAGCAAGAAAACAACATGGATGTTTAACAAAAGTCAAGCATGACTTTAAGATGATTGTATTTTTATGACTGGATTGACTTGCCTCAAATCTTTCTAAACCAGCTTTTATTTTTAATTGAGCTCAAGTTAAAGTACAGCAGGTGAACTGTATCTCAGCAAGTATTTACTGCCAATCCCCACTTTGAAGAAACTAAAGGCTATTTTCCATGTCTTCCTAACCATGTACAAACATGCTCCAGTAACTATTTTTTTCTGCCAAGAATTCACAACGTGCCTTCATTCTATTCCTGAACCATGCCAAAGCCGCTTGAAATTATCCATAGCTCTTTTAAAGTATGATTTCCCTTCTCCCAAGACTTTTGGCTGTAGTTATAACCTGGTTTCAGTGATAGGGGTGCTGAGACAGTTATCGAGAATCCACTCAACTCCTATATCAAGTTGCCGTGGTCCTGCTTTTCCCCCAATCTCTGAGCATTGCTGTCTCCAATCATTTTTGCTTGGACTGCAGAAAAGGCTGGAGGATCTGGCTTCCTCAGAGTCATCTGCTGACAAAATGCCAGACCGGTATTTTCATAGCCCTGGTCAGATCTAATGCAGGGCTCTTATGAAACACAGATTTAGTACTCTTTTGAAGGCGCATTCAGATGGGTTTTTTAAAAAAACACTGGAGTTAGTTCTGCATTGCAGAGAAGGTCAGTTCAAACCATGAAGCCAGCCAGGTTCTGACAGCAGTGTATTGTTAATTCTGGCACTGCTGAGCAGATTGTAAGTTTTCCGTTGCTATTGTTGATAAAGGATTTCAAGTTATTATACTATTTTAATGCTACAACAGCCAAAACAGAGTAAGCGCTATTGGCCATGAAGTCAAACTGGATTCCTTGATTAGTCATGCCAGTGCTGCATTCCCTTGCGTGTTACTATTATTTCTTGTTTCTGTTGAGTGATGCAATAGTATTTTCAATTTCATGACTGTAATTATAATGCAAACGAAAAGTAAACTAAGTGATCCTCAGTGCATCAAAAGTTTTCTTTTAATACCACAACAAGAATATAGATATGTTTTCTACTGCACAGAAATACAACAAACACACGTTTCGTTTAGCCCTATGAATAAGAGAGTATTTCACAATAAGTCTTGCTATTGAATAAGCCATCCTGTGAATACATGCTTTACTTCTGCTTTCTATTTTAAATTCATTGTCACTAATTTGCATTAGTGTCTGGATTTTTTTAATGGAAGATTTGCAGACTTCAATTTAAAAACAATAGCCCAATGGATGAGAATCTAAGATTAGCTTTCAGCCACTCTTATGCATGAAAAATTGAGTATCGCTACATTAAGTACAAACACGTTTTATTATCTCTTGAAAATTAGAAAAAAACATTAAATACTTTTTAAAAGTATGTTCAACCCTTGCAATGGACTCTGCATAGACATAGCCAGTTTACCCTCCCTGAGCAATCTTGAAATGGAAAAGAGATGTTTCTGTACCGGGTCACACTTTAGTTCAAGCCAGATGTAGATGCTGGGAGGCAATAATTCCTGGATAACATTTTAAAGCCAACAGGCTCATTTGCCTTTGAAATCTGGGTACTTCTGAGGAATTTTATTACAGCATATTTCAGTTACAGAAAAGGTTAAAAGGGGATTGAATAAAGCAATCACACCTTTTTGTCACGATTCATGGGAGAGTAAGGTCTCAGCTTCTAAAGCTTTGTGTTTATTATCCATATGCCTACATTTCTTTAGAGCTGTTCTTTTCTATACTTGGATGTTTGCTCTCAACCCTGGAGACTTCCTGCTGGGTGTTGCCTGACTGCACATATTTGGCATGAGTTTCAAGAGAGAGAGTAAATAGAGAGTTACATAACCAGAAATCTGGATCCAAAAGACAATTCTGACCAGATTAGAACAATCTGCAAAGAATTACATTAGTTCCTGTTCTTAACAAAAGCTAAGTAAAACAAATAAAATAAAATTTACAAAGACGACAAATATTAACCGATTGCAGGAGTTCATTTTGTTAAATTTGTAATAACAATATCCACAGCATTGTTGGGTTCTTCACATAGCGGAGAAGAACTCAGAAAAGTATATGCTGTTGTATGATTTTAGTTGACCTAATAAGGTTATTGTTCTAAAATGCATTTAGTCTGATTCTCTTTTCTTTTCTATAATTTTAAAGCAAACTTCTTCAACCTGGATGACTTCTGGGTGTGGAGTTCAACTTTCAATATTCTCCACCATGACTGAGAATCACAATTCTGAGATTTGAAAGTTCAGACAACAAGAGGTTTAGCAAACTGGAGCAGATTGATATGGAAGGTAGTAAATTGCACGATTTAACAACTCTGGGTAAAGATGATTTTATATCACTGGAAGCTGGAATTTTATTCTCTAGAAATACATTATCTCTAATTAATAAATGACCTAATTTGGTTGCTGCATTTTTTAACCTAGTCATTTCCAAAGTTATCTCCAGCTTTGCTCCCATAAAAACTTACATTTTCTTTCTGGCTTAATTTTCTCTCTCATCTATTCTTTCCAATCTAGTTTCCAGCAGCAGCCATAAGAACCACGGAAATGCATAGGGAGATTCGTTTCTGGAGTGTTTTTCTCCACTAGCCCCATCCACATCAAGCCCATTTTCAAACCGGCTTTATTTTTATTTTATTTTTTTGCCAAATTCTTCCCCCCCACACACACACACATCAAATTTAATTCTATTTTCTTCTGTTTTCAAATAATCGAAGGATAGACAGCATCCTGACTACCATTGTGCACTTGCTTTCCAAGATTCTGTTGGGTTGGAAGAAATAAAAAAGAAAAAATTAACTCTCTTCCCTGGTCAGTATGAGATACCTTCCTCTCACAAAAGGATCACCTACAGCAGAGGTTTTCAAACTTAACAACTTTAAGGTGCTGGCTGTGGAATTCTGGGAGTTGAAGTCCATAAGTCTTAAAGTTGCCAAGTTTGCAGACCCCTGACCTACAGGACTGCAGCATTGCTGGGTTGGTAGTCAGCATGGCCGATGAAAAAGGTACCCAAGTGAAAATGGAGAAAGGAGAAATACTCCACCCTGATGCCTCTCCATTAATCCTTAATCAGAAGCGTAGGGAAGGAAGAGCCGTTTCTCATTTCCTGGGATTATGAGGTGCATTACACAAATCTACTATATAACATTTGCGCCAGGAGATAGGATAGGAAAAAAAATGTTAATTACATCACAATTGCCTTTTCTGCTAGATTGGCTATCTCAGAGTACAATATAGCTTGAAAGCGGGAAAGAGCTTTCGACAAGATGTAATGTAATCAAGGTGGGTTACAAGTGGCATTTATCTTCCCAAGAACAGGTGTATGCATAAGAGAAAAATTCTTGCAACATAGTGAACAGGATTTTTCTTTGCAGGAGAAGGCATGAGGAGAGAGAACAAGCTGAGAGGACATCTTGGGAAAGAAAAATGGATTCTCAATTCAAGAAAATTCCACTATCCAAGAAATTAAAAATGGAATTCACAAACATGGACAATCTTTTGAAAAACTGGCTGAGATGATTTGCTGTTATTGGCTTAATACCCAAACCTAACTATGGTGGCATATAAAATCCTGCTTTATTTCTTTATACAAAGAAATGTATAGGAATTTATATTCATATAAATTATCTACCATTATCTATCAAGCAAATCTTTATAAAAAGATAGCTTGGTAGATGATGGCGAGATAGAATCCACTACTGGCACCAAAGTACCCTAACCCTAACCCTACACTGAAGAATATATACAGCATATACTTATGCTGAACTGATAAAGTCAAGAAATTAGCCTCTGAAATGGAAACTAATGATAGGCTAAAATGAACAGATCATAGGCCTAGATGGTATTTGTCCAAGAGAAGTTCTAAAGGAAATTAAATGTAAAGTTGCTAGCAAAATCATTGTGTAAGATATTCCTAAAATTGCCTCTCCATTATTTAATTAAATGATAACCAATGCAATATCTGTTTCTAAACAACTATGTATAAAATTAGAGGCCAGTTAATGAAACCTTAAGAAGAATGAGTCTTGAAGCATTAAAGCACCCATGTCCTTTGGAGGACTCACGCAGCTGCTTTGAAGGGAGGGGCTGGTTTTCTGCAATGCTTGTGCATCCCCAGATAACACTAGTGAAGTGAAACAACTTTGCAGACATACTGACACCCAAGAATAGCTATAGCAAATGACGGAGGAAAAGCACTTCATTTACCGCTATAATTTCCAAACTTCTTTTTCAAAAATTAAAAATTACAGTAGATAGGTTACTGACTTCAAAATACAAGAATAAGTGTTCGTTTCCTGAAAATTTAACTATTCTGGATTCTCCCTTTTTCCTTAATGTAGTAGTTAGATTATTTTAACCTGATTATATTATACTAAAGAGAAATATTACCTCCTTGGGATTTTTTTTTTACAACTAGCTATTTTTTTACCTCTAGCATGTAATTTTAAGATTCAAATTTAAAGGTTCATCAACTATCAGAGCACCTAACCCAATCAGAATTTCAGCATGGCTATATTGCCCAGAGAAAGAAAGAGAGCTACACTCTTTTCATTGTTGTGTAATCAATATTGAACAGAAAACCTGTTAAGCAAACATTGGCTTTGCCACTGAAGACGAAGCACTTGAAGCAACTATATCAGAGTGTTTATGGCATATCATCCATCTGGCTCAGATTCTATCTGGAATACATATCCAGCACATCTCTCCAGAGATGGCATTTTCCAAAAGATTTTATCGTGTTGTTTTTCTTCAACAACACCCCCCAACTTCTGCAGGCTTGTTTACAGTATATATGTTTTTATGGCTGAGGAAATAAAACAAACTCTATAATCATACAAGGCAATCAACCCTCATTATTTACTCTAATGATTTTACAGTAGTTTTACACTAGTCCCTGAGAAATTTTAGTCTTCCCAAAGAGAACAGGTTGCTTGTAACCATTTGTTAATTGCACGTATGAATGTCAATTAATTCACTTAGCTAATTATCCACTCTATGAGCATCATGGCCCAAAGAACTGTAAAAAGACAGGCATATGGTAATAGATTTAGAAGAGAATACAGCTTGTTGTTGTGTATTCATTCAACAACTTAGAGGAAGACTGGAAGAAACCCATTAACAACATGGAACTCATCATGACACAATTGATTTTAACACTTTGCTCTTTAGAAGTCAGAATGTATGGAACAGTAAATCTCATGTATACTAAGGTGATTGACTAAAGTTTGGCGAAAGGCAGACTGTCTCTGTACAATAATGTATAAACTACAGATTGGCAGTTCTAAATACCATTTAATCATTGCTTTTCTGCTATTAGCAAGACTGAGAACAACAAATATTTTTTCCTTGCATTTGGAACACAGCATTTTGTGTGCATAGGGATTCTGCCATTTCTGTCCACATTAACAAGCATCATGACTGATAAAAAGTTATACGTCTTAGACTGCTAATTATAAGTTTTACCAGCTTTTTTAAAAATAAGATTAAGCATATGCTTAATGCAATAATGCAAAATAATATCTATATATACACAGAGAGAGAGAGACAGAGAGAGAATGGAAATGGCACATCCATGTTGTTTTCTTGGCAACCATAGAAATGCAATATTCTCTTGTAGATTCCACATTGTATTAATATAATGAAAACAACAAAGTTGTCTCTGGAGTTGTTTTCATTTTAATAAGCACTCTTTCCCCAAGCACGTATTAGTTATCATTTGATTACTTGTGGCACATAAGTTTATCTGGCTAGTTCATACTTAAATAAACTGGGGAAAAAAAGATCCTTCCCTTCGTCAACATATATACATGCACCTAACTTGAGCTACAAATTCCTTACTGATATGAATTGAGGGCTGTCAACATTTATGTATTTATTGGCAAGAATGCATATTATGGATATTATTTCAGACCTGGGCTACACCATCAACAGAAGTAGAATAGCAAGAGCACTTAGACTTATATACTGCCCCATAGTGCTTTGCAGCACTCTGGGCGGTTTACAATGTCAGTATATTTCCCCCAACAATCTGGGTCCTCATTTTACTGACTTCAGAAGGATGGAAGACTGAGTCAACCTTGAGCCCTGTCAGGATCAAACTCCAGGCTGTTGTCAGAGTTTGCCTGCAAATAATGCATCCTAACCACTGGGCCACCAGCAAAAAGCATTGATGAGAGAGCTGATTATTTAAAACTGTCTCACATCAATCTGTACAATGTACCAACTGACTACATTTCTCCCAAATCAAAGAATGAGTGGAAAATCTTCTAGCTCTGGTATCTTTCCACTATGTAGCACAACTTCAAAAGCCTGATGCAAAATTTGAAGTAGTCTCAACTATTTCCTCATTTTGAAACTCCGGTACCTCACTAGTCTCTACTTATTCTGTTCAATACATATGTAGATTCAATTATATAATTATTATATTTATCTCAAGAAAGAACTGTTTTATCGTCTCTGGCTATTTCTCCTTTAGTCACTTATGGTGTCTTCTAGTGCAGAGATGTCCAACCTTGGTAACCTTAAGACTACCGGACTTCAACTCCCAGAATTCCCCAGCCAACATTCCCCAGATATATGGGTAACCCCTGCCTTGCTGGCCTTTTAAAACATGGCTTTTCCCCAGGCTTTGAGTTGTGGTGCTTTTCTGTCTGATTTGGACTCTGCTGGAAAAGCGTTCGATTGCTGTTCTTCCGGATGACACTATCTTTGGAATTGTATTGTTGCTTCTATTGTTTTGTATACATTCAGCTATCAGAATTGTTTTGAGTTGGGCAGTCTGGAAATGTTATGAACAAATGAAAACATAGATGTTAAAGCTCAAAAAGCTGGCTATCTAAGGACACACTATGAGCTCAAGATCTGAATTCCATGCTACATTATTAGCATAAAATCATTTCATACATTTATAAGAGAGGTTGCAAGATGGGTTTGTGCAGGCTCTTGAAAGCTGGACATAAACTTTAATCTTCTCTTACAGATGAAGAGGAACTGAAGCATCACAATTGATCCCAGGATGCAAGAAGTCTAATTTATAGAAGGAGGGGCACACAAACTCTAGCGTTGCTCTGTAGAGAGCATTCTATAACCTGGAACTCTTGTACTTCCATCTGCAAAGTGGATAATAAAAGCTGTCTTGCATACATCTCCAGTGGAAAAGGCTCATTATGAAATGGGAAGGAGGCACTAGCTGGCACATTAGCTTAATACATCAAAACCTATTGGATTCTTTTGCATTAGCCAGCATAGCTTATGGGAGAGCTTGAGTTTCTGGCAGAGAGATGGAAATCCTAACCTCAGTATTAAACCTTTGTGGCTTTGCTACCAAACCATCTTCCTTCCTCCTTTCCATTCCCAGCTACAACTGTCCTATTTCATGTCACTTTCTTCTGAAATCCTTCAAAATTCAAGGCAGGCCAACAGACTATGATTAAAAAAAACCCGACTCTCTTCCTGTTAGGCAGATTTGGAACTATCATTAGATGAAAGTATATTTTGATAGCAGTAAGTGCAAGATTGAAAAATATGGAGAGACCTGGCCCATAAAATCGCCAAGAGTCGGACACCACCAAATGGATATCATCATCATTGTCATCGTCGCCGTTGACATCATCATATTTCACTGGGCCACATCACTCTCACCTATGTATAAGCTTAATAGTCCAGAGGATACAAAAAAACCTTAGGAAATGCATATCCGTAACTGAATAACAAAATAACTGAACATTTAAAAGGAGAGAGAAAATTTAAGGTTGATGATAGACACATAGCCCAAACCCAGATTATAGGCTTTCCTATAGACTGTGCTCTCTTCTCTTCCCCCAAATGATCAAAGACAATCTATTACAGTGAATGTTCTTAGAACTTCCCTTCTGCTTCTTTGCAAGTCTGGCTTTGTACTGCTTCATAAAAAAAGTTCTCCTTCTCATGCCATAAGGCTACCAACACAGACAGGAAATAGCTGCATCTGCTGGGCTCTATCCAAGAACTTCTTGGAACTCAGAAGTCAGTGTTAGAAACCCTATGTCATGTTTCCGATAGACGAGACCAGTAAAAACAGAACTCCAAGGCAAGAGGTTTCCTTAAAGAACATATTTATTGGCTATAAAGTATCGGCATGATCAAAAGTAAAACCAAGACTGAAGTTCCCTCCCAAAGATTACAATGTTACAAAATTGAATTTCCCACCCCAGTAATATGTCATAAATCACATTCCCCAATAAACTATTTTGGCGGGCGTTCTAACGGAAGCCTCAGCCTGCCAAAACTCAGGCAGCAATGACCTTGGTTCCCACAGGACAATTTTTTGTTTTGACTAAACTTAAAAGTACACATCTCCCCTCCCAACACTGTGGCAACTGAAAAGTGGAAATGGCTTCAGCTAAATTCATTGCAGCATTGACACCCTCATATTGCAAATGGAAGGACCCCCATATGGCTTATCATTTGGAGTTGCTTAGTTCTTCTACTCCTCTTTTTTTTAAGTATCAGTTACACACATGGAGATTCTATAGAACTCAAAAACTTCCATCGTCTTTTGCATTTTTATAGAAATTGTCCAACTTTAAGTTCTAGATCTGTTGTCCCTTCTATATAAGCATAACTTTCTTTTTTCATTTTTGTTAAATAACTTACAGATGTATACAATGGCCCTGAATTGTCATGAGTCAAATCAGATCTGTTTTCTACAGATAACAGGAAAACCAACAAAAATGTATACAAACAGAAGAATATGTTACATTGTCTCAAAAACTGGTTCATTGTAGTACATATTATACATTGTATAGTATTGTTAAAGGTGTTCACAGCAGCCACATTCAAAGGATAATTTAATTATGAACAGTAATGCACAAGGTTTCTGACTCTCACTTGGCTTTTCTCCTACCACAAAATAATGAATCCAGATTAGTTTAAGTATGAATTCCTAGCAAGCTGGAATTATAAACCAAGTACAAACCATGATTAGTTCTTGGGCAAACTAGCTTCCAATTCAACCATAGTTGAAACAAAGCAAGGACAGTCATACAAGTTTGCTTAGTCAAACCTGCTGACAGAAGGTTTTAAAAAAAAATTAACAAGTATATTCAACCAACATGCCACTTATTCATAAATTACAAACTGAGACCAAAGAATTTTTGAATCATTATTTAAAACCATTACAACATCACCTGGAATTTCATGGCATGTGTTCAACAAGTTTTTTTTTTTTTCAAAAATACTGAACGACTAACATTTTCAGGATGAATTGCAGGAACCAGCTTTCAAATAAGATGGATGATACAATTTTCAGGTAGCAAAGACTGTTCTGCATGACATATACATTCAGTAAACATCACCAGCTTACAGGGATATGCTATCTGCGTTCTGAGAAAACACATGCCCTTGGAAAGAAGAGATGAACAATATATACTGGTGTATACCACTGTCTCTCAGTCTCAACAACTCTAAGATATGTGAACTTCAACTCCCCAAAT